CTGCTCCCATCTGAGTACAAAGTGAGCTTTCTCAGGTCTCCGCACAAAGCAGGCAGGAAGGAGGGGTTCCTTTCTACTCCAAGGACAAAGTTCTATATAAACAAAAACAAAAATGTTCTTTTGCTCCATTCAAATATTCAAATGGTTTGATGAGACCCACCCCTATTAGATTGAGCACACCACTTTCCTCAGTCTACCTAGTCAGACACATGCAGAATCTGCTTCAGTGGTCCATTTACAAGGATGCATGCAGGATACAGTTTGAACAAATACCTGTCTTGATCAAATAAGGGGACCTTGTGGCCCAGGCAAGTTAACGAACAAAATCATCAAAAAGATGTGACGAGAAGCATATCAAGTAGCTCCCACCCAGCCCACTCCTCTGACTCCTCCTCTTGTTCATTCTTTCACCCTCTGACTGCCTGAAACATGGATGCCGCCATCTTGGATTATAAGGCTGAGAATTACTCTATACTAATTAATGGCAGAGAAAGTTGAAGCCTTGAGAACATCATACAGTGCAACCCTCGTTTTTTTCATGAGAGAACAAAGAAACTTCCACCTTGTTTAAGCCACTGTTATTTGGGAGATTTTTACCCTTCACAGCTAATTCTAATGTACTCTCCTTTTATTTCCACTGCTCACAAGATAGAACTACAGAATGGATCACAAATCTGAAAAATACCTATGACTAGACAGAAAAAAGAAGGCATGCTTAACCCACCAATTCTAGGGTAAAAGAGATATTCAGACTCTTTCAGCATAGTAATGGTGGCATAGCCAGTCACAACATTATTTCATATCTTTCCAAAGATAGATTTGAGAAACAGAGAATGCTGGTGCTTGTATTCTCATTTTTCACTCTCTTTTACAAAGATTTTGTGTTCTCATCTTTCTCTCTGAATAATGTAGGATTGCCCCTGCTTGGGTAATAATTGGCTTTTAATAGATTCTTCATATTAAGCTAAGCAAAATTACTCAGTATCAATTGGAAAATCTAACATCTTATTCAATAGAATGTTATCACTTTGCAAACAATTGTGGGAGCTTTAAGACATCTTCAGGAGTGTACATTTAGCCTAAAGGCAAGATTATGAGACAAGGAGAAAATCCTGCTTTAGCCTAATGGACATTAAAATGACTTTGTTAAACTGCATTTCAAAAGAGACCTAGAGTCACAGTGGAACAAAGGGCCTGTTTTTTGGTAGTTGTGATGCTTTGGGAGGGGGCAGTTTGTTTGGTTTTTAGTAATCTCAAATGCTGAGATTGCAGGTATGTGCCACCAAGGCCAGCTGTGGTGCATTTTAAATAAATCCAAGAAAGATTTTGATATCCATACCAGCACTGAATGCCAGTTAGAACTCTAAACTTTACATCCCATGTATTTGTTTGACTATGAAACAGTCTTCTCTTTTTCTTCCTTCCTTCCTTCCTTCCTTTCTTTCTTCCTTCCTCTTTTTTTTAACAACACTATCATTTTAGCCAGGTGTGGCTAAAGTGTAACCCCAGTACTTGAGAAACTGAGGCAGGAGGGTTGTCATGAGTTTGATGCAAGCCTAGGCTACATAGTGAGTTCAAGGACAGCCTAAACTACATAGTGAGAGCCCTGTCTCAAACAACCAAACAAAACAAGAAAACCAACACTTACCAACATTTTAAACACTAGTGCTGAGAGAAAATGGTTCAAAAATGCCATACCTTATTCTATTTCCAGGTCATTTTCTTCTTACCAAACAGAAAACCAGTTTAGAAGCCAACAAACATTCACAGGACCCCTACCACACTATCCTACTGATCAGGGTTGCCAGTATTTATAAACATATAGGATACTCACTTATAGCCAGATTCCAAATGAACAACGCATATTTTCATTATTAGTAAGTGCCATGAAATTTTTGGAATATATCTGCACTACGAAAATTAATTCCCCATTTATCTGATTTCTTAAATTCCTTTTCCATTGGACATATTTCCCCTAGCTACCCTCCTCTGCCTGACCTTAGGGAACAGCAGTTGCCAGTCTACCTGGGCTCAGACTTCTGGAGACTGAATGGTGCTTTACCCCCAGGTAGGTTACAGAATTAAAACAATGAGCCTGGCTGGGCTGCTTTCTTCTCCTGACACTGAAGGGTACAGGTCTCTTCAGCTTGCTGGTCAGTGCTGGGGACTCTGTGTGTCCCCTGAGGCCCTCTGCACTCTTGGCCACTCATCTCAGTGTCTGGAGGCCCGTCTGCATGGACCACAGTAACAGGTTCTCTTGACCTCCAGCTTCTGCTTAATGCAAGCCCCCAGGAGAAGACAGCAGGGCAGAAGAGACTGGGTGGTTTATCTTCTTGTCCCTGCGAAGCCCTGTGTACACTCATCCCTCACCAAAGGATAAGTGCTTGAAGAAGGTCAGGGTCAGAAGGACACTGCTCATTCTGGACCCTACAGCTGTTTTTTCCGCTTGCCCTCAAAAGCCTCCAAGAGGTGATCCCTAGATGGCCGGTCCCAAGATCTTCACAGCTCTTCCATTTCCCTTAATCCATCCCCAACACTGTACACTTTGCTGTCTTCAAGCTTTCTTTCTTCACCTCCCTTTGAGCATTCTCTTCTCCACCCTGTAACTTACACAGGGAAAGACTCAGGTGGGCAGAAACTAGGGAGCTCTCTTGTGCAAACTAAATGCTGAGTCTCCAATTCATATCCAGTTTTGTCAGAAATTCTACATTGGGAGTTTCCACACCTGGCTGACCATAAAGAGGTGCTTTGTTCGCCGTTTCCCGACCAGCTAGCTCAAGGTCAACAAACCCCATTTACAAGGCTTCCTACAGCACCCTAAATCTGCATGTATGCTGAGGTCATTGTGTAACAGTCTGGAGGCAGAGGCCCTGTGTATTTAAGTGCTATCAACACTCATCTCTGTACAGAGAAGAAGAAAGAAATTGGCCTGCAGACCGATGACTCCGCACTGGATCTTGATTTCGTTTCTTGCCTGGGATCCAAGATCAGACCAGCAAGTTCACGTTGTTGGTTTCCAGAAATGCTAAGTCCCCAAGGTTTGCTTGAACAAACTGCATGTTCTCACAATGCTGAGGGCCAGACACAAAACAGTCTAAACGCAGCACAAAGCAAAAACAGAAGAAACCAGCCCAGCTTACCCATGACCAATTTCTCGCTATTTTTCCCAGCTATTTTTAAATAATCAAATCACCATAGTATCTATGGCATTTTAGAGATTGCAGGGATTGTGAGTCACATCCTTGTTTACAGGAATAAGGGGGGAAGTCAGCTTGTTCAGCATTTACTCCGTTTATGAGAAGTGAGCCGGCAATTAAGACGCCGGAGTCCAGGGACTGTCTCATGTAATTTTACCTGCTCCTGCAATCTCTTTATCTCTCCCGCCTCAGGACTCTGACCTGAGAGAGCGGCCTCCGCCCAGACATGTCTGGTGGCAGATAAAACCGCCTGTCTTCATTTACAATCACACATTCCTCCTCTCTTGGCTGAGCAAAACTCTTGGTTCCTCCTTTTTCCACACTGACTCAGCCTTCCGTGCTAAGAAGGCTGCTCCAAGTGCCCTGGTCCATAAGTAGTCAATAAGAAAGGTTCTCCAAAGCCCAGCTCCTCAGGGGAAACACTGGTTTCCAGCATGTGCGACTCATGGCCATGACCACAGCTCCATGAAGGGAGCCTCTGAGAAGCCGCCGGTCCCAGAGAGAGCTGCCCTAGATGTGTACACACGTGGGAGCCCACAAGAGCACTCTCCAAGTGTCAGACGGCAGGACGGTGGGCAGGATTGTAACACTCCACCCCAAAACTCACACTGCCCAGATGGGTAACAAGTTTTTCTTCCAGGGAGAATTTGTCTGTAACTAATGAAAACTAACTAGGAGATAGACAGAGAGAGGAGAGAGAAAGAGAGAGAGAGAGAGAGAGAGAGAGAGAGAGAGAGAGAGAGAGAGAGAAAGAGAGAGAGAGATTCCCAGTTAATGAAACCAGAAGGGCTAAGAATGAGCGGATATTCAGATGCTCGAGGGCCTGACTACTCTGAGAGGTCTTTCATCTGTTCTTTTGTAATTTCTCTTCGTGTGTAATTTCCCACATTCCCAGATCTGATTACTATCATTATTCAGAAATAACAGTAACAGTAAAAGAGGAAAAAATGTTTTAAAGATTTGCAACTTTGAAGCATGAGGCAAGCATTAGAAATCGAGTGAACTGGGGATGTTCTCTTGAAGAGCTGTGTCACTGATATTACCAAATTAAATGCCTCTGCTTTTCATTCTGGTTGGACATTTGATACTGTATGGAATACATTACTTATATCCCAAGGGGAAAAAAAGATTCATTAAAATGACTTTGAAATCTCTATCAATCTATCCCTTTATTTAGTTGTGAATACTGTATATAGTACTCTAAGCAACTGAAAACGAAGTATCTTATAAAATAAAATAAAACTGTTACATGATATTCTAGCAGAGACTATGTTCCTAATCATATGCTTAAAATTCTTTAGTAGCCTCTCTTTGTTTTTAGGATTAAGGTCAAGATTCTTAACATAGTCTTCAAATTCCTGCCTTATTTCACAGTTTCATCATGTACCATATACTTCCTGTGTCTTCATGCTCAGCTGCACTGGCCCAAGTCTTTGAATGTGCCACAGGGCCTTTGCACATTTTGTCACTGCTTAGATCTTCTTCTTCTGCCTGTCTCCCTTGCTTCCATAGCTCTTACTCATGCACAGATCTTATCTCATTAGTCACTGCTTCAAGAAGCTGTGCCTGACGTGTCATGTCAGTTATTCTCCCTTTTTCATATGCATTCATAAATGACATAGTATTTTTCTGTGTTTGTTATGTATTATCTGTTGCTGCATAACAAATCACCCCCCAAAACTTAGGGATTTTAAAACAACACTTATTCACTCAATGTTCCTGAGAATTGGAGACTGGCGAGCCCTTCAGCAAGGATTCTGTCTCAGACACTTTCCCAAGGTTTTGCTTAAATTTTCAGCTTACCAGGAGTCATTGGGAGCTCTGCCTGGGGGTGGGGGATGAGCTTCTGAGTTCGCTTGTGGCTGTGGCTGGTGGCTTACTTCCTTCCTGTGGGCCTCCGCTGCTCTGCTTGAGTCTCTTCGTAGCTACAGGCTCAGTCTGGAGCAAGTGACCCGGGGAGCAGGCCAAGGGGAGACTGACTGCCTTCTGTGACCCAGTCTCACAAATCACATGCTGTCTCCTCTGTCTCTACTTGTTAGAAATCCATCTGTGAGCCTCATTTACACTGGAGTAGTTGGAATTTGACCGCTGTCACACATGACCACATGCTTTTTGTGTTTTCCTATAAATCACCATTGTCCTAACACTATCAGGACTTCCGTGTTTATTCTTAACATCTATTTTTTTTTTTTTTTTGTACTGGGGATTGAACTCACAACCTCACGCTTGTTAGGCAGGCACTTATACTGCAGAGCTAAATCCCTAGCCGTGTTCTTCACGTGCTATAACATTATCCTTACTGCTAATAACAAGACAATTATAAATATGTAGCATCGTTCTTATTGCTAACAACAATAATATAAATGTGTCTGGAGATAGAAATTTATTTTTTTCTTTTCCTTTTTTCTGTGTGTGTGTGTGTGCGTGTGTGTGTGTGTGTGTGTGTGTGTGTGTGTGTGTGTGTGTTTCAGAGATCAAACCCAGGGTCTTGTGCTGCTAGCCTAGAGCTCTAACACTGAACTATACACTCGACTCTAAAGACAGAAACGTTGTAAATGATCTGCATTACATAGATAACACACAGTGATAAATAAGATTAGTGGAAACTGGCCACATGGATGAAAATTAAGACTGATAAGAAATTCTGCCTTGAGGCTTCTCTGGCTTCTGATAAATTAGATGACGCTGTCATGTCATTGATGAATAAAAGTTTGCAGAAAACATCTCTGCTCAGGGAAATGCTATGTGTAGCTTTTGGACACACATAGTAAATTTCATGCTGAGACTAGCCAAGATATGAAAATTGTTTACTCAGCGACTCCCCAGTGTAAGACCAGTGGTATCTGAATATTTTCATCCCATTACATGATTTTCATTCTGGCAGTGCAAACTGATCTTGGTACTGTATTTCCCTAGCCCTCTTTCTGCAAAGAGCTGTCGTTGCTTGAGTTCTTTAAATGGACACAATCCTTGGAGGATGAGCCCTGACCAAAAATGCACCCTTGTGTGTAATTTAACTTTGTTAGCACATAAGTTATTTTTCTTTCCCTCATCCATTGACCTGGATTTGCATAAATTCATATCACATCTCCTTTATCGTGTGCCTCAGAGTTCCTAAACAGGAAGTCTTCTCCAGGACCACAGATACGTTCACCTTTGTCCAAATATGAATGAAGCATACGGGTGATTTTTCCTAACATAACATTACATTTTGGGGATCTGCAGAAAAGCTGCATTTTACAAATGAGGCAGCTGAGAATTTAGACACTAAAAAGCCTCTCGGATTCTGTACCACATGGCGAGAACCCCTGGCCCTGCAACATGCTCCCCAATGCAGTGCCCAGCTGCCCACTGAGTATTCCACCCAGGTCCAGCATCTCAGCCTAATTAATCACATGCTGGTCCAGAGGGTGCTCCGCTGGGGGCTCTGTCCTGTGCACTGCAGGGGTTTAGCAGCTCCTGGGGTCTCCACCCCCAGATGCCAGTAGTACTCCGCACCCCCATCTCAGCAACAACAAAGGAAAATGTCTCTGGACATTGTCAAATACCTCTAGCATAAAATCACTTCCAGTTGAGAATCGCTCACCTATCCAATGCCATCTTATCATTGTCATGAATTATACTTCATGTTTTGTGGACAGATATCTCAAGGCATAAATGCATCCTACTCAGTGTTAGAGCTCTGAGTTACATATATGAGAAACCAGTCTCTCCAAGAAAAATGACTCTTACTGCTAGAGTTGTTGTTGGTGGTGGTGGTGGTGTTTTAGCATAGACAGCAAAGAATCAGTTCTCACTAGGTTGGGCAACACAGCTTTCATAAATGATGTTTCAGAAATGATGTTCAGAAAGGAGAAAACACAACCCAGTAGCTTTTAATCCATGTTTACTGAAAAACAAAGTTACACAAGTAGAAATGGACGTAAAACAAAGATCAATTTGAGAAAATATAGTGATGGCTAGAATGAAGGAAAAAACATTTCAATTCTGAATTTATGCACATATTCCTATCAGTTATTACTGACCTAAGATATCTCTTTAAATTCAAACAAAAATAATAGTAATAATTTCACTGGTGTTTTCACGGGAACTGACCAAAGCAAGGTCCAAACAAAATTTTCCATTTCCCCCAAACCCTCCAGAACACACGCAAGCAAGGCAGAGATGCTGCCTGAGTGAACACAGATGAAGCAAAGGAAGCCTTTCCTGTTTCTTTATTCCAGCAGGAAGTCAGCACTGGCAAATGAGCTTTGGGCACACATATGGTTTCTGCTAATAGTTTTATGAGAAAACTTTTATGGACATTCATGAGACCATTTATTCTTAGGAAACCTATCAGTGAAGGATTGCGTCTGATGGGTGAACATAAATATATGCAGAGAAGTTTCCAGTGGTTTATATTTGAACAGATTCGAAATGTTAAGAGCATGAAATTTAAAAATGCACGGATGTGGAAGGGCAATGCGTATTTTACTGGTTTGTTTCATGGCTCATGATTTTTAGCAGGGTCGGTCAATATCCTACTTTTATTGTCTCCTATCCTGATGTGTGGTATGATCTGATCTTCCTAAATAAGAAAATATATATATATCTTTGAAAGAGAATCCTGATCTCTGAAAATATATACTGGTAATAGCTTTGCACTAATGATCTCACTTAAAATAAAATATTCCTTTTTCAAGCTAGAAGCCAGCAAGCATTAAACTCTTTCTAGACACTTGCCATGTGGGTAATAAAGAAAAGCAATAGATTTTATTTGCTATTCCTTTAAAATAAAAGACTTTTTTTTTTTTTTTTTTTTTTTTTGCCAGTGCACAGCAGTCACCAACCTCTTACCCTCACATTTAAAGATTTCAAGTTAGGATGAGCCCTGCCTCTTCTGATACTGTATTCTAAGCTTCTCCAGTTGCTCCACGCATTGTGACTGGGCCAACTTCAGGGTCCGATTCTCCTCTGTCAGAGCCTCAAATTCTCGAACCAGCTGGGCAGCATCCACTTTCTCCTTTTCTGCCTGGTCCAGCTTGGCAATGAGCTCCTTCCTGGAGAGTCAGGGGACAGGACAGGAAGAAGGCCAGAGTTCAGTGCAAGCAAATTGGGTGGTTTGCTTCAGAAGAATCATTTGTTTCATCCTGTTCTTCTTAAATTTCACCCATCACTACTTACCCTCTAGTTTCCCAGAGTCACAAGTTTTATATTTCTTTATTTTATTCTAGCACCTCTACTAGACACAAGCAAAATATTAAATATACATTTAAAAATCCCCAGAAGTCTTTAAAGGAATCTTGCCAAGTGTGCAATAAATAATTGAAATCATAATTTAGGAAAAATCAATTTACAATTTTGTGTGAAGGTATTGCCATTGTCTTGGGGGGTGAATTACATGTCTCTTACCAAATCTTTGTCCTCTAGATTGAATGGTTATCTGCTTTCATTTCCTTTGCCTGAGTTGAATCTTTATTGGGCTTCTACGACCAAAAAAGAAAATCCTACCTCCTTTCTTGCATGTATATTTTTCATGTCCTCTCTCTCTAGTCCTCAGGTATGTGTATCCATGGCAAATGGATCTAGGACCTCTCACCATCACCATAGATACCATTCCTTGCTGATGTTCAAGTCTCTTACATAGTATTTGCATATAACACACACATCCTCCCATATATATTAAATCATCTCGAGATTACTTATAGTGTGTAACACAGCATATGTGCCAGGTAAATAGTTGCTATACTGTATCATGTAGAGAATAATGACAAAAACACCACACCCTGACTACATAGCCAATGATGGAGGTTGGCTGAGTTCACGGATGTGGCAATGTAGATAGGGAGGCCCATGGCACTTCATCCTCATTAGCAAAACAATATCTGCTTTTCATGCTGGCCAGACCCTAGAACTGAAGAAGCAGGCTGAGGAGGAGACTGTGATGACAATACCTGAGAAAAATTCAGTTGTCCGTAAATGTTTTTAAGAATCCATTGTTGTATTGCAATTCATGTTTAAATTGAATGAAACTGAGAATCCAGAAAGATTCTCCCATATGCATGTCAGCTAATTCTAATATAAACTGAACCTAACTGACTTTGGCCTCACATTTCTTCCACCTCTGTAAAGCAAAGAACAACTGGTGAATGTTCTGATACACAGTTTTCAGTACTGCGTTTCTAAAAGAAAAGGCTTTGCACTGCTGCTGTTAATATCACACACTCATAGGTAGCACCTAGGTGAAGCCTCCTTTAAGATTTAAATTCAGTGCCAGCCACTCAGAGAGAGCCAGCAAACTCAGCATGGCCCAGAAAGGAGCCACACCCCGAAGCTCCACCATGATAGGGAAGAGGATTGGTGAACCACTGCCCTGTGCCTCTCTATCACTCAGGAACCCCAGATGTCAGGAACCCAGGTACCAGGTACCAGGTACCAGGTCCAAACCTAAACACCAAGGGACTGGTAGCCAATGCAGGAAGCACCCAGGATGCAGCAATGGGCTGATTTGGAGGAACACAAGAAAATATCAAGATGAAGGAGCCAAATGCAATCTCAGAGCTCCAGCCTACACAGAACAAGTTCAGGAGACACAGACATAGTAGAAATCAGAAGTCACACACCTGAGATTTCTGAAAAGATAACAACTGAAGTAAAGAAACAACTTAGTTCTTATATTTGGTTAATTTTACATATCTATGTCTGACGGTCTGGACAGCTATTTTGAAGATAACAAGAAGCATTATGGTAGCCATCATTAACCTCCTATTGTCTTGCTTTGAAGTCCTGTATCACTGTTGTTGCTTGGTTTAGTTTGGATTTATTCTGTTTTGTTTTGTTTTGTTTGGCTTTATTATATCTGATGGCATTGGGCTACAATTTTGAAGATAACAAGATATATCATGGTAGATGTTGTTGTTTCCTATTATGTTGTTTTGAAGTCCTGTATCACTTTCATTGTTTTGTTTTGATTGGCTTTATTCTGTTTTATTTTGTTTGGTTTTATTCTCTTTAAAATAAAAAGATTTGAATTTGTTTAAATTAATATGCATTTTTAAATATAAATCAATCTATCAAATCTGTGACTTCAAGAATCTCACGCCCTAAAAGAATAATAACTTTTGGAGAAACTGTAAAACTGATCTAAAGAAAAATATTGAATAAATAATAAGGCAGATGTGACATTGCATAGAATTTTTATTCCGAAGGCAAATACTTGTGGCACAATCATGCCAGCCTAAGCCTCAAACATTGTTCTTTTTTGGGGATCTTACCTGTCCCCTGAAAAAAAGACTAGAGGTTCTGAGTATGTTCTCATGTAATGTTAACTGGCTAAGTAATAACAACCTGAAACACAACATAAATAAATAAAGTAGGACACCCCGGCCTTAGTGTGTGACACATACAGATACTGTTTTCATGCATTCATTTATCACTATCATTGATCACATTTAAAAAGCTTGTCTTTCTTCCTAGACTAATCGGATACTGACTTGATATTATATAACATGATGAGAGAAAGAAAGGAAAAGATAAATTTCTGACAAGCAACAATATTCAAGTTTATGTTAGAAATAAGCCCAGGACCACTGGGAGCAGTGGTTTCCTAATTACAAGCCCAAGCCTGAAATGTTCCAATAATTCAGAATTAGAAAACAACCTTACTGTCCCATCAAGTAAGATCTGCAAAAATTTTTGAGTGAATAAGACTATTAGTTAGGAAAAAAAAAAACCTCTGAACACCAACCTACATGATTTCAAAGTATGTATATTTATTCATGAGTTATAAACTATATCTGTGGCTAATATATTATGTATATTATAAAGCATACCCACATATAGATATGTGACATAAGATTGTCTGGTAAAACTAACAGGTGAAAGTCTGTTGGGGAAAAAGATAATAACATTTTCAAAGTGTATATTCACAAATCACTCATTAATTACCAAGGGTAAATATATGCAGAAACCTACAAGGTCAATATCTTAGTCTAATGACTAAACCTGACATTACTACTATAGAGATAAGTAGACAGCATATGCATGCAGAATTCACAGCATCATTTCTGTCCAAAATGTATAACCAGAACCTAATCATAATGAATAGCAAACATTATCCACTTGAAGGAAATTCTACAAAATGACAGCCTATACGTTGAAAAATGTCATGAAATGTTTCATATTTGAAGCAACCAAAGAAAAATGCAAATTAAGTGCAATGTGCATTTCTAGACTGAAAAAAAGAACTTCCTGCCATGTTCCTGGGCAATTGATACAATCTGAATACGGACTGTGGACTAGATAAACATTGCTGCATCTTTGCTTTCTTGATTTTAATTACTATACAAAAGCTAAGTGGGAGCGCATCTTTGTTCTTAGAAAATACTCACTAAAGTATTTAGGGCAATGCAATGTGATAGTATACGTCATGTACATGTAAATGTTTACATGTGTAAATACAGATATATTTATATGCACTCATACATTTATGTATATTTATAAACATGAATAAATGTAACTATATATACTTAGGACTGAGAAAGAAAATCCCAGTATCACTGAGAGAGAAAGCAAACAGAGAAATAGTTGATAACTGATAAATCCAGTAAAAGATATAAGGGATTTCTTTATTCTGCTTTTGAAACTTTCCTGTAAGTGCAAAACTACCAAAATAAAGTCACTTCAGAAAAAGGACAAAGGGTAAATCAGAACAGCTGCTCTAAAACTTTCTACACTCTGTAGACAGCCCGCACACCCAACATGGTGGCCACAGAGCAAAGTTACGCTCTGGAAAGAAAGTGGTCGGGACACACAGAGGACAGTTTGGAGCATCCCTCTGCAGGCACACAAAAGCCCTCGGATGGACTCTTGCTGATCTCTGGATCCTCCATAATATTAAGAGGAGCACTGACACTCAATAAATGCTTGCTGAGTGATAACTGAAGAAAAAGTACCACAGAGCAAAGTAATTTATATTTACAGAGAAGGAAACTCAGCTCTGAGTCTTCCATTTCAATTAAGAAGTCATGTGGCTAATAAGGAAAGGCTGGAAATGAAGCCTGTCCTTCTGATGCCGTGGCTAGAGCTCTTTGCCTCAGCACAGTTGAGAAGTAAATGTCAGTAATTAAACACTGATTGGTAAACATCGCCCTTTAAGAAGAAATTAACAGATAAAGCCTAAAAAAAAATTTTAAAAAACTAATAAAGACCTGCTGTCTATCAGATCATGTATTCCTGTTGTTTTTCCCCTTTCAAATTACCTGGGTCTTACTTGCTTAGATGTAAATAAATCAGGAATAAATACAGTTTTGTATTCAAATTTGAACTGGGAATTGGTGGTGCTAAGTAGTAACAGTTCTTTTCCTGGTTCATTTAAAACTCCAGAAGCTGTTTGTTCCTAGTTTTGATTAAAGGAAATAATAAGTCCCCAAATCATCAATCTGTAACTATAAGAAATGGTTAACATTGTCTAGACTTATCTTCCTACATTAAAGAGAGTCAGTGGTAATTTCATCTTTACTGGAATCAAGAAGGCTCAATAGCTAGGTCTTTAAATTAGTTTCATATGCTTCATAAGCAATTACACAGATATCCAATGAAAACTGTCAAAATGTCTGTTGTCTCCCAGACGTATTTACACTCATCCATTATCAACTCATCATTAAACCCTGGAATACCAAGCTACAGAAATTAGCTTATAGATAGCCTTAGAAGCAAATCAACATTTATAATCAGCCAGAAATGTGGAACTACCTGTGAAATGTTAGTTATTGTTACTAACATTCCTTTCAATTTAATGTAACATAGGGGAGAAGGATTATAGGTACAGGAATCTTATTTCTGAAGTCAAGAGCCTGTAACAAAGCTTTGCACGTGATTTAGTTCATGCTGTAAGGGCCATAGCCTTGGGCTATAGCATAAATTATATATTAACCCCATCTTAAATCAATTGTTGAGAAAATTTTTAGTTGCTAGGATAAATGAAGGATGGGAAATTCCAAAAATGCCAGTTAAAAAAGTTTAGAACCTTATGGAAACTTATTTCAAAGTTAAGGAGATT